GAGAATAGAGCACTCGTCTACGAAGGAGGTGAAGCAGGTTCGAAACACAGCGACAGCTGGTTGATACAAATTTTGCATCCGGCTTGCACTGACCACAGTGCTGACGTGAAATATCCTCAGTGGTAGACGGATCATGGGTTAAAATCTCCTTACCGTCAGGCTAATCGTGGGAGGTTTCGTTGTTCTTCTCTTCGTGTAACGCAAATGCTGGTTAATTCCATCATAAGGTCTTCCACGAAGGCTGGAAGGTTTTCCAGTGCTTTATTTAAGAGTTGTATTATCATATAGGTTAGGATCAAAATTAAAAGGATACAGAGTTGAACGCTGATAGTCCCAAAAATGGGTCTGCTGTTCATCATGCGTGATAAAATATAATTAATAAAAGCAATTATTTTTGCTTACCCCCGTAACGGATAAGTAAATTTAAAAAAAAATAAATTTCTAGTCAAATTTTACAAATTTCTAGTCAAATTCGATAAATTTTTAGTCAAATAAAATTGTAAAAAATTGAAAGTTTTTTTTCATGTATTCGATAAGATAGTTTAAGTACCATTAATTTCGTTTCAAAAAAGGTCGGGTGGGATCATAGAATAGCCCACTCAGTGGCGCTTTTTTGAAAACTCGCCAAACTAGGTTTCTGGTAGATCTGGTTCATCAGAGTAAAGATAAGTTATTTTTCATTTTATTTTATTAAAAATATTTTAATAAATTTTAATGATTTAAATTGCTTTTCTAATAATAAAAAAACGACTTTAATTCAAGTAATAATCGCCAACATGGCGAGATTTTAAAAAATCGCCTAAGGGGTGCGCTATTCTGGGATTTTATCAAAAGGTCATTAACAGTTTAAAAATGCAAAAAATTAACTTACTTGCAGCATTGAGGGTACGATGACTGAGAAAAACTTGAAGATAAAATAAAATAAGTACCTAAAGAAATTGTAGACATTCATTAAAATTTATTTTTCTCCATGAATTAAAAATAAATAAAATAATAAATCTTACTTTGAAAAGATGCTGAACAGACATTTTTAAATAAGTAGAGGGAATGTTTTTATTTACTTATTTCTTTTATAGTTAAATAGTATTTCTCGCTTTTAACTCATTTAACTCTCAGTAAATTAAAAGTGACTTGAATATCACAAGTTTTTAGTGAAAATAATTTTGTGAGGCAATAACGTGACGTTTCATTTTTAAAATAAAAAAGAGACCTCTTTTAGGATTGTTATCTATACGTGAGCGATTAAACACTGTGAAAAAGATTTTACAAAATTAAGCAAAAATCTGACAACATCGTTCCGAAATAAGTATGGTCGTATTTGAAAACCTCGTGTATTCATTGCTGAGTTTAGTGGCATGCTTAAGACAGCAATATACTTATGAAGAATACGGTCTTTTTAGTTGATATTGAAAAGAAGAAAATTAATAGATCCCATTATATCTTTAAAATTTTGTCAATGTTCTGCACGACTAATTTGACTACTGTGTCGTCTAAAACTCCTGAACCTAGAATTTACCAACTGTTGAATGAATTCAACGGTGGAACATTTGACAATCAGAGAGATCAATCATGACGTCACTCATCATATTATAACAACCGGCCCACCAGTTTTTTCAAAATCTAGACGTTTGACAACCGATAGATTAATAATTTCACGAAAAGACTTTGAATACATGATTAAGCAAGGCAGCTGTCGTCCAGTAAAAAGTACTAGGGCCAGTCTTTTGCATATGGTACCAAAGAAAAATGGGTATTTTTCCGTTCGCCGGGAGCAAATGTCACCAATTGTGAACAAACGCGAGCCAAGTCACCAAGCGAAGCGAATGGCGAAACAGTCAACGGAATCAAAGTCGAAAAAGTTCAACTATAAACAAATATTTATTAATAGTAAGCTAGTAAGCAAAACAATTTCAACTATAAACAAATATTAATGTATAGTAAACAAAACAGTTTTACACCGAAAAAGTGCTTATTATAATTGGTTTTTCCAGAATACTGTGATGGCCTTGAGAATTTGCTGAAATGGATGTCGGCAAACTAACATTCCTCTTATGGTTGTAAGAAATTTGGCGGAATTCTACATTATTTGGCAAGTTTTCTCTTGCGCCCGGCTAACGAAAACAATTCCGAAAAATGGAAGTTTCAGACCATGTAGTGATTACCGAAATTTAAATGCCGTTACTATATCTGATCGGCAGGCCCGTAGCCAGGGGGGGCGGCGTTGGGAAAATCCCCCCCCGAAATTCTGGGATACAAGCTTTTTAGTCTTTCTTTGAGCCTCTCAGTAAAAAGAAAAACAAAAACTGTCGAATCAAACCTTTTCCCAGTACATCACCTTCGCTAGTGCATCGTCTTCACTTGACCTTGTGGCTCATCTTTCCTTCGGTTAGACTACTCCCCCCAAATCAATTGTTTTTCAGCATATTAATTTATGCAATTTCCGAATCTACGCAGATTTCATTGACATAGAAAACCTCATGAGAGAAATGGAAGTATGGGCATCAAAGTGGAACCTGCGTGAACCCCTTAGTAGACCAGATACGGCACTTTCAGCAATGGAAGAATGTGACAGTACTTTTTTCCCAAACATTTATTGCTTGTTATCAGTACTGGCTACGTTGCCAATCACCACAGCAACTGCAGAAAGAACTTTTTCTACTCTTAAACGCGTAAAAACAGCAGCACGAAATGCTACTAAAGAAGAAAGGTTAACAGGCTAACTTTATTAAGCATATTTCGGGATATTCCGGCTTGTCCTAAGAAAGTAATCGGAAAATTTTCTTCAAATCCCCGTCCCATGTCTTTGTAAACTTAGTGTACAAATTGATTATAATTATTATGTAATATTAATTGAAAAATAATTATTATGTAATATTTTTTAATTACTAGTTTAACTTTTGCAAACAGTATAAACAATATTTGTTACAATGTTTTCCCCCTACTTTGCATGTCTGTAACTGTCCTTGCTTCTAACCATATCCCCCCCCCTCGAAAAAATATCCTGGCTACGGCCTTGCTGATCGGCATACTTTTCCACATATTCAAGACTTCAACAGCCAATTAGATGGTTGCAAAGTATTTTTTACAGTGGATTTAGTTACAGCTTATCACCAGGTTGAACTTAATGACATTGAGAAAACAGCCCTTTGTACCCCTTTTAGTTCATAAGAATAAGTTTTGTGTTAAGTGCCGCACAAACCTTCCAAAAATTCCCCCATACTGTATTTCGCGGATTAGATTTCTGCTTCGACGATTCTTCCTTGTCGCTTATATACAGTCCTTTACATTATAATATTTTTTTTCAAAGAGCGTAAATGATAAAAAGCGTCAAAATTAAGAAATTGTTGCTCGTGTACTGTACACTGGTACTACCCCATATTTCTTAGAGATTTTAAAATAGCCCATTTTAGCATTTGTTGTTAAATTACTTTCAGGACTTTTTTTACTTGTTTTCGGACTTTTCCCAGGTTTTAAATTTCACTTATGTACTCTAGCTTAATATTAATCTTACTCGCCCGCTATGTTCTGTCGTCATTCATTTTATGTTTTGTACTGATTTTTGGATTTAAATAAACATTTACCCTTATGCCCTGGATTGGGGCAGGTCGGGGTAAATTTTTCATAGCTTACCCCATACCTCTCCCCTTAATATTAACCTCGAATTTTCAAACTCTATATCAGATGTTATATTATATATTACCATACTATTTATAGATCAATTAGAGGGCCCACAATATGGTTGCACTGGCAAACCGCAGAAATTACTTATAAAGCTTGTAATAAATCGGACAGCCAGATGGACTGGTATGGATTTATGGATCAACAAGTTCCTGGTTCAAACTCTGACATTGGAAATAATAAATAAAGGTAGGTATTTTATTTACGTCACACTGGAGCTTCACAATGGGCAATTGGAGACGGTCTGGGAAATATCCTGGAGGATGATTAGAAGACATGCCCTTACAATTTTAATCCTCTGCAGATGGAATGGCTCATCCGCTTTGGTAGACTGACGACCTGCACGCGAAGTCGAACACTCTAGGGCAGGGATGGGCAAACTACGGCCCGCCGGAAGATTTTATTCGGTCCATGGATAGAGTTTTAACTGACCGATCCGTGACGAATATAAACAATATACATCCATTTGCTTGTCTACTTTGTTTTAAGCTATTTTTGTTCCTGCTTTTTCAACAAATTATTGAAGACCTTTTTACTTTCCATATTTTTGTTCCCACAAAACATAAATTGATGACAATAGTTAGCACAGACAGCTTCAATTGGTAAAATGTTGAAAGCAAAAGTTCTTTATAGAATAGCCTTAGATTGGCGCCATCTGAAGCAGTTGTTTCTAAATATGCCAAAAATTGAGTTTCACAAATCATTAGCAAAAGCTAGTTTCCCAAATTTAATATTTTATGCCCAGAAAATCAGTGCTATGTTTGCTTCATCTTATAAAAGTGTTTTCAAACATGAACCTTAGAAAAAATCATTTCAGAAGTAGACTAACAGACAAACATTTAGCTTCGTTCCTTAAAATAAGTACATCTCACTTGGAACTTCAATATAAGGAATTTTAAAAAATGAAATCTCAATTTCATTCATCTCATTAAATATTTAAATTAAAATTTGTAAATCGTTTTTCTATTATAGAAGTTTTTACTTAGACCACCAAACTTTTTTTTTCTTTGATTTTTTGGCCCTAGATCAAAAAAGTTTGCCCATCCCTGCTTTAGGGTATAACAGTTTAAAGAGGACCTATACCGCACATCCTCGATCCCTACATAGGCTGATCAAAGTGGTCACCCACCCGCTTACTGACCGCAGCCAGTGATGCTTGACTTCGGTGCTCTCCTCTATCAGTCAATATTGGGACAAATAATAAATAAAAGTTAATGCAGATTTATTGTGGTTACTATGACAAATGTATAGAACAAGTCTAACTCAATTTTTACTTTTCAGAAATCCAATAAACAATGCTTAAATTAGAAGAAAAAATTAAATAAATGCAAAGTAGAATCTTTATTATATTTTTTATATAAAAAAAAGATTATTTACAAAATAGTAGAAGTATGCAGTTTAACAAAACATACAAAATCAGATCTATGCATATAAAATGTTCTAAACGCTTAAGGAACATGAATATAGTACAAGCTCTTAGATTTGTTATCTTATTTAATGACTGGCTATAAAATAAGCAACAAAGTGAAATAAGCACATTTTACAGTACAGTTTTACCGAATTGTAAATATATTTAAATTGATCTTAAATATATACAAAACAAAAAAGTTCATTAGATAAATGCATTGCATATTTTAGCTTCCATCATATTTGAAAATGATTGATTGAGAGATACATAACACAAAATATTGTGCACATAATTTCAAAATAAATTCTCTCGTTTATTTTAATACAACATCAGACGAACTTCAAGGGAAAATTAAAAACATAATTTTTAAAATACGATAATAGTATAACGATTTCATATTTCTTTTTAAATCTTAAATATATACAACACAAAGAAAAAAAAATCCATTAAACAGATGCTAAAATACTATCATATATTAAAATGATTGATTGATTCATTGAGAAATACACAATACAAAATATTGTGTTTACAACTTCAAAATCACCTCTGAATGTACACATTTATATTAAAATAGCATCAGGCAGATTTTAAACATGATCAAAAGCAGTGTTTCAAGTTTACAATAAATTTAACTGACAGCAAAAATATGAGCAATAACTCTAACCATCTATACTTCAATTTGTTAAAAAAAGATTGATAGAATATACACAACATAAAATATTGTGTATACTATTACATAATAACATTAGAATGTATATATTTATAATAAAATAGCATCAGGCATGATTAAAATCAGTGATTTTTTAAATATACTTTCAGTCTAGCTGATCTTAAAAATATGAGCAATATCTTTATACTTTAATTGCACTTCAAACAAAAAAACATTCTATAATTTTTGAATTTTTCTAAAAAAAAAAAAAAAAAAAAAGAAAAAAAAAAAAAAAAAAGAGGTATAATTGGAATAAAATGTTACAAAAATACTGAGCTAAAATTCACTAGACTAACACAATGAGAGATTCCAATAAATGCTAACTTTTTGAAGTTATAAAATGCTTTTCTATTACAAACTTCCATTTCAGCTTTTACACGAAAACAAAATAAAATAATTACCCTGTAGTCTTGTACATAATATGGAACGAGTATTAAATAACATATGACGTAAGACAAGTATAAATCTTTTAAATTCAAAAACATTTAAAAAAAAAAACAATACATTATTTATTTTTAAAGGCTTTATACAACTCTGTCTACATAATAATTTTCAAGGAATAGACATAAAAGGAAAAGGAAGAAAAATAAGGTATTGAGTAAAAAAAAAAAAAAGGAGAAGAGATTACAGATATGACAAAAAATTATAATTTCGAGTTATATTGGGCTAACTATACTACTTTTATTTAATTGCTAGAGAAAAACTTAGCGAAATAAAGAGCAGCTCAACATACTTAAAAGAAATAATGCTATAGTAAATGAAATAGTTTAGTATAGCTGAAATATCATCCTTAAATATCTCATAGATTGCACTTTGAGTTGTTACAATTTTTTAAAGAGGAAAATAAGAAATAAAATTCCCTGTATTTTCCCAGTTTGTAAGGAAAAACCTAGAATTTCCCTTGTTATTTAACAGGATTGCCACTCAAATCTGGAGAAAAAAATTCCCTGTGTTTTCCCTGTACACATTATACGCAATACATTAAGAGGAAACAATAATTACTGTGCTCTTGTGAGAGCTATATTGGGCTAACTATATTTATTAGTTTTAATTGCTGGAAAAACAGCTGAGCATACTTAAATAATGTTATAGTAAATGAAATAGTTTAGTATAGTTGAAATATGGTTATATATCCCACAGATTATGCTTTGATTGGTCACTATTTTTTAAAAGACAAAAATAAGAAACAAAATTCCCTGCATTTTCCCTGTTATTTAAAGTGATTTTTGAATTGCCAGTATTTTCCAGGTCTTCCCCGTGGAGTGGCAACCCTGTTAAAGTTTATTTTTAAATTTCTTGTATTTTACAGGTTTTCCCTGTGCAGTGGCAACCCCGTATTAATTTGCGACTACAAGAAGTATACTTTTTGTGTTCATAAAGAGTCCAAAACTGTACTTTAATAGCTGTTTTTATGAACACCCTGTATCTATATATATATATATAAATATCTAAAATGAGGGGGAGGGGTTTACTTATTATATAGACATGACTGAAATGAATACAAGAGTAAGGACAGAACAAAAAAAAACAGAACTAAGGATCATCATGGTCATACTTCTGTTGTCTCCTCACTGACATTATGGGTGGCAAGCAAATAGTTGGCAGCTTGTCTAACGTCCCAAGAACACTTCACCAGTCTTTGTTTGATGTTATCTGTGGGTATTCCGTGAGTGGTAAGAATGCACTGCAGTCGCATCAGCTTGATAGCTTTGTGCATGTCCCAGTCAGTCTCATTCAGGGCAGAGATGCATTCCTCTGGAGTTACAAGCTACGAAAAAACACAATTTTAATTCAATTTCAATATAACGGGGACAACACATAATTTCGACTAAGTTTAAATTATTGCAAGATGAATAGCAGAGTTGGCAAAATTTAGGATAGAATGGATTAATCCACCGATTAAACCAGGGTTTAATCCCTGGTTTACGGATTAAACCCTGGATTTACCTGGAAACGGATTAAACTCTGGTTTAATGTGCCTTATCCAAAACTGTCTAAAACCCTTTTACTCAAATTATGTCATAATTTAAAAAAAAAAATTGTGAAAAATAAAATTTCAATTTGTGAACAAGAAACAAAATAAAGACCAAGTTTAAATTATTGCAAGATGAATAGCAGTGTTGGCAAAATTTAGGATAGAACGGATTAATCCACAGATTGAACCAGGGTTTAATCCGTCTTGTCCGAAAACCATTTACTCAAATTATGTCATAATTTTAAAAAAAATATTGTGAAAAATAAAATGTTAATTTTTGAACAAAAGACAAAATAAAAACAATTTTCGTTTTATTAAAAAAGTTAATTATTATTTTTGAAACTACATTATTTATCCTTATGTGAAGACATAATTTATCAGTATTAAAAGCATATATATTCATATTTAAGGGATAAGGTATTCACTTTTGTTTAATGAATTGTGGAGTTTCAAAAGTTATAAATCTTTTCCTGTTAAATTATTTTCTTTAAATAAGTTTAAGCAAATTGTATAAAAAGTATTAAATATTTATTATATATGTAATTATTATGTGTTACACATATAGAATTTTTACCTTTTACCAATGTTCAAGCAATTGGACAGTTTAAGACAGTTTTAGTCAGTTTAGGATAATTTAAGACAGTAAAACCCGTGTGTCTTGTCCGAAACCCCAACCCTGATGAATTGTTGTGACATATTGCAAACATATTTTAGAAGATGTCATGCAGAATTCTTTTGGCTTGGTTTATCTTGGACACAAGGATTTTGCTAAACCTTATAAGAATATAGTATCCCTGAGCAAGGAACAGAACAAAATATCAAAAGGTGAGTTAGACAAATGTGTCCTACAATGGAATGCAAGTGAACTGTCATGATTTAAGCACTGTGAAAAGGCTGTTGTGAATTTCGGATTCACAGAAGGCCATGACTGCCTGGCGAATCATCTTCACCAAATTGACATTTTCAGGAGTCCTAGCTAATTGCCCACTTTTTTTATATTTTATAACCGTTGTTGAACAGGCGATCCAATTTTGGGTTTACGACTACTAATGCTCAACTCAGTAGCCTTGTAATTTCCAGGGTGGCCACTCAAATCAGATTTCAAATTTCCCTGATTTATCCAGGTAAAAATCTTAAAATTTCCAGGTCTGTGTTTCTTTTTTCTTATAAAGTGTATGATGTGTACAAGAAAAGTGTCTATATTATAAAATATTTTACTCAAAATGTAATTTTTTTAACATTGTGAAAAAAAAATTATTTTCACAATTCGGCAAGATTTTTTATTTATTTTTTAATGTTTTTCCGCAACATTAATTTTTAAGAAATTAAGACATGTGGAGAAAATATGTTTAGCTTGCAGAGTATATTGTTCTTATTGAATAATTTTTTTTAATATGTTACTTTAAGTAGTTTTTGCTCAAAGTATACCTAGAAAATGGCAAAAACAGAATGACCAATAAAACCTTGGATAAGTATTGTTTAATATATTTTCATTAGGCAAAAAGGAAAACCACTTCAGGTGATTATGTATTAATAAATTTTTATAATTACAGTGGCTCCCAAAAGTATTCGTTCACTTATAACTTTTATTGAAATAGGAAATAAAAATTCATTATTTAAAATGAATATTTCAGAATGGGTATTTGATAATAAGATGTTTAATCTAATCTTAGAAAAACTGCATGGAAAATTTTAAAAACAAAGCAAAAGTTTATTTTAAAGATATCAACAGTCAAATAGTAAAAAAAATGTTACCCCACGAAATTCATCATACACTTAAATATTTTTCTATTTCAGAATTGAAATTATCGTCTATTGCTTTAATTTATTTATTTAATTATTTTTCATTCAATTTTTTCTTCATTGTAATATTTTTTTTTATAATTTAAAAACAGCTCATGGTCATAATAAAACAATAGACCAAATTTCAAAGTTGATTATTTGTCATCATAAGAGGTAAATCAGTAATGAATATTGTTAAATTAGTTTAATGTGTCTTATTGGACTGTGCAATATGTGATAAAATGCTTAAAAAAAGGACTTCATATCAGAGAGTAAAATTATAAAATTTGTGGCAAAATTCATAATTGAGTGTTGTAAAAGTTTCTGTAAAATTTAAAAATATTCTGCTCAAATTTCATCCAACAAAAAAAAAAAAGAAAAAAAAAGAAAACTAGTTACATTTATTTACAAACTTATAAAAGCTATTGTAGATGTGAAAGGAAACTCTACTAAATATTACTAATTAGAAAAATTAAAATATTTACTAATAGGCAGAGATTTTTTGAAAGTGTACAATGACTTTAGTGTGATAAAGCTTTTGTTACTTTTTGATGATTGATTTCTTAAAAATAAACTTTTGCTTTATTTTTAAAATGTTCCATGCAGTTTTGCTAAGAATAGAATATATTTTTTATTATTAAATATCCATTTCGAAATATTGATTTTAATTAATGGATAGTCTTACTTCATTTAAAGTCATAAGTGTACCAACACTTTTATGAGTCACGGTTTTTACATTTCAATATAAAGCTGTACTGTACACTGTATTTTATCTTAACAGTGCTTTTTATAAAATTAATTGATCATATTTCCTTTAAATAAATCTTAAGTCAAATTTTTAAATAATGTTGTTTTGAATTAGCATTATTATTTTAAGAGATTCAGTATACAAAAATAAATGTCACAAATGTAAAATTGTCTAATTTTTTGTTATATACTCTATAGAAGAAAAAAAGATAAAATTCTTTAAATTTTATACTTTTTTTTCTTAGTTGAAATTAAAATATTTAAAGAATTCCAATCTAAACACATAGTTTTTTAGTTTATTGTCAATTGTTTTAACAACTAGAGTCTTGCACAGTGAAGAACTAAAACCCTAAGTTTAGTTTTCCTTCTTTGTACTAAACACATATGAATAAAAAACTAGATATTTTATGTTTATACATCATTTAATATGTTTCCTACACATTCCTTAGTCTTTGTCAGCCTTTTAGGGTAAAAGGAGGAATAGTTTTGGAAATATTATCTCTGGAAAGCAAGCAACATTTATGAACTTTTGATATTGTGATAAGTATACAATTCGGATTTTGAATCAAAAATCGAATATTTACCAACAAAACAGCAAAATTAAATATTAATATACAATTAGTTTGTAAAAAACCTTTCTTTTAAAATTAAAATGTTATAAAAGGTTAAAATGAAATAAAAAAAATTAGCATTAATGAAACAATTGTAACAATTTGTCGACAAATATTGCTGTTAGCGATTGTAAAAAAAAAAAAAAATTGTGATTGGTTGGTTTGCTGAGAAAAAATAATTCACAAATTTTTTTGAATGGGAGTACAAAAGCTTTCAGAAAAAGAGTGCAATATAAAATCTATTATTATTAAATTATAACCAACTAATTTTTGGAGAATTTTATAAAGTTAAAAATACAAAAACATTTTGAATCATTTTGTAAAAATAGAAAAAAATTACCACCAAAGCATCAAAACGAACTTGAGCCATAAACGGATTTAGCCCAAGGACAGAATTTTAAAACAGAAGCTAATGTCCCTAATATCTTAATCCCTTCTTTCACCTCCACCACAATCTTTCCTAAATTGCACAGTCTCATGCGGTCAAAGGTTTCTACATTCGTTTAGCAACCGTGGAAGAATTTTATGTGGCATTCTAGTTTAACAGAGCTGAAATGGAGCAAATTTTGATGCAAGCAAAGTATCGCTAAGTTAATGATATTTCAACTGTTTGCAATACATTTCAATCTAAAAAAATGGTCATAATGGATTTAAATTGAGAAAATACAGACATACTTCATATTATATTATTAAGGTCAATAGCATTCAATGGCTGGGACACCTTTATAGATCAGAAAACCAAAACCCCACAAAAAGTAATTTTTTTAAACCCGAAGGTACAAGAAAAAGGGGTCGGCCACGGACTAGGTGGCTGGACGCAGTTGAGAAGGTCCTAAAGATAATAGGAATAACTAACTGGAAGGCCATGTCACAGAATAGATCAAGATGGCAAAAACTTATTGGGACGGCCTTGGCCCGTCATAGGCTGTAGTGTCCAAGAAGAAGATTTAGTAGTAAGTGAGCTTCAAAGTTTTTTTTTTTATTGGAAGGTAATTCAACTAAAAAGGTTGGAATCTGCTGATATAGCGCTAATGAGGCAATTTTAACTTTACTTTCCTGGACATGAGCATCGAGTCCTTCAAAATGAACTCTTATGGAAAAAATTATGCAGTTCTTATATAGGGTTGCCACTCAAATCTGGAAAAAGAATTCCCTGTACACATTATACACACTATATTAAGAGAAACACAATTACTGTGCTCCTATGTTATCTACATTGGGCTAACCATACTATTTTTAAGTGCTGGAAAAACTTATAGAAAAGGAACAGCTGAACATACTAAAATAATGCCATAGAAAATGAAATAGTTTAGTACATTTGAAATATTCGTAAATATCCCACAGATTGCACTTTGAGAGGGTCACCATTTTTTAAAAGACTAAAATAAGAAATTAAATTCCCTGTGGAGTGGCAACCCTGCATTGAAATAATTGAGCTTATAACTAACCATTAGTGCACCCTAGTTTAAAACAGAAATATTTTTAACATATCATATAAATTTAAGAGGGTGAATTAAGTATTTATTATCTAATCGTACCTCTTTTGCTAAGACTTTCTGCATTATTCTAACTTCATCAGAGTCTACTCCTCTAGAGCGGCCTTGAGTTCTGTGTAATATAAAGGGGAAAAAAAGAACAATATTACATAAAATATTATACATTACACTATAATAACATTGAAATGAATTATTATTGTTAAATATTACCATAATTTTAATGTATAAGCAATGATAATTTTTTCCAGGGCACATAGCCATATTTTCCAACAAAAAATAAGCACATTATAAGCCCTCAAAAATATTTTTCAGCACTATATATATTAATAAATAGCATAATAATTTTTAAAGACTTTACGTGATCATGATAAAAAAGATAGTTTCTAACAAAGAACTTTCTTCTTGATTATATCAGCTACCATAAAAAGATCAAGAGATTCTTCAGTTCGATTTCAGAAGGTGGAAAACGAAGCCTGAAATTGAGAATATCTTGCAAAATGCAGTAGAGTTGCAGCACATGAGAGTGCTAGAATCTCACCAAACCCAGCTCAATAGACGCAAAAGCAGATCATTTTTCATAAAACATGTAAAATTATTCCCGCTTTCATTAGCTATGGACCTACAGTACGCCGAAATGGATTGTGGTTAAATGAGTTGAGAAATCGGTAAATAGAACAAATGTGAAATCCACGCTTTTGCATAATACATGATGATAATAGACATGGTAAAGAAAAAAAATCTCATTTTCGAAAAGGGAATATTAAGCACTTTTTAAAAACGCTATGCATCAAGGTTTTTTTTTTTTTCTAAATCTACACTTTTAGATATTCTCCTAATGCACTTCAAATACAGGAAAAATGTCTGAGGGGATGCGAAAAAAAAAAAGAAGTAATGATGCTTACATCCATTTCGATGCACAATTCTTCATTACAGAAAAAAAAAAAATTCCATCAGCAGATTTAAGTCAGCAAAATTTAACTTTAAAAATACACAAAATGAAATAAGAAAAAAAAAAATTTTTGCAAGTAAAGAAAAAATATAAACAAAAAGATAAAAACAATTTTTGCTACTGGAAAAATTTAATTATAAAGAAAAAAAAAAGATAATGCACGAAGCAGAAAACATGAAGACAAATTTAAAACAATTAATGGTGATTTCAGTTCAGAGAGCTGCAACTGAAGAAAAAAAAAGATTTATATTCATAACTGTAAATTGGGTCCCACTTTTAGTTAAAATAGAGTCAGAAATTTAAATGTCCTGGGTTCCAAAGATTCATAGTTTCTCAAGTCTAGTGGAAACATTAACCTTATAAGCATTTGGTGCTTGAATTTGATTGCTTACCATAGGGGTTCACAACCTTTGTAAGTGATGGACCACTTTCAAAGCAGGCAGATTAATGAAGGGTCGCACACATATCTAGTCATGTTAGCCGCAAATATGATAATTTTTGTATAAACATTAGTGTTCTAAGCACTAAATATTTTTATCAGTAAATTTAATAACATATTTGCAGATAACTGATACTTTTTTTAAAAAACTTTTTCCATTTTTCACAATAATTAATTTATTATATATATATACTGGAGGGGGATATAAATTTTAACCAAAAAGAAGCTTACAGAATGAAAGTGCAAAAAATATACACATTTTACAGAGTAATATAAATTTGACTTTTTAACCCTTTCTAAGGCTGTGGTAATTATATTTACCACCACTATAACTTTGGTATGCCATTTCTTATCAACTTCAGCTCTGGTCAAGTAATTTTGAATAAAATTGGTTACAACATGCCTGTTTTTACGGAATGCAAAAAGAAAAAAAAAAATATAATACATAATTCCCTTTTCAGTTTAGAGTAATTATAAAATTTATTTTATATGTGAAAAGAAATGAAAATCATTAAGTTTCTTACCTTTTTATAACATTTATTGGGTAGTAGTAAACATACTTACCAAAAATATTTTAGAATTCAAATTAATTTTATCAACTGATCTAAATTAAATTTTTCATCTAAATCCAAAAAGTATTTTAATGTAGCTTCACTAGAAATAAATGGTCTATTAAAGGGTTAAATATTTTAAATAAAGAAAATTTATTATGTTTAAACCACATTAAAAGAAATATTTCTACTGCGTTCAGGCCGTGCATCCCTAGATTAACACATTTTTGCTTCTAATTTATTCTACCTTATTTAAAAAAAAATTATTAAGTTAAAGTGTTCAAAACTTGATCCAAGTGCAAAGAGTGTTGCTTACCTTCGGGCATTGGGCTTATCTAGAGCAAATTCCAGAAGATCTTCACAACTGACATGATCTCCACCCCTGTACATCAGATGAGATTCTTCTTCAGGTATGTTGTCCAATCCATCAAGTTCACTTTGGATGTCTGTTTCAAATGAATCTTCCAATCTGTAAAAACATAGCTGCTTTACTTGATTTTCTTACTACATATAAACATCTAATGACGGCGTTGCAGTTTTCTATTGTTGTCTGCAGAATTTTATTATAACCGTCTATGAACAGACGACCCAAGTTTTGTGTTTACGACTACTAATGTTCAACTCCGTAGCCTTGTAATTTTGAATCCAATCCAAAAGACAAGGGAACTCCTGGATCAAGTACTGGGAGAAATTTGTCTTTGTGGAGAACTTTTTGATGGAACTAATCCGCATTTGCGTTACATGGTGAGGAAGACCACGAGAACCTCCCACGGTTAGCCTCAGTGTAAAGGGACTCTAACCCATGATCCGTCTTAGACTTAGAGGTTGGGCAGCTCCAACGAGCAGGCCACATCGACCAGAGGTCTATTGTACCCAAACCCTAAACCATGAAAGCCTAATAGCTGAAATAAAATTCAGTAAACAACTTACAAGAACATCTTGCAGTTCCCAGTCATTGATGCAATGCTGCCCTAAATGCTCAAATCTTTGAACAGAATAGACCTCACAGAGTATGTGTCGACTGAGGATATTTCATGTCAACACTGTGGTCGGTGCAAGCCGGATGCGGAATTCGTATCAACCAACCATCGCTGGGATTCGAACCTCATTGCAAAATTTTATTGGCCGGAAAATAAAGTGGTGGGATTCAGTTTTCAACCAGGAATTCGTATCAACCAACCATCGCTGGGATTCGAACCTCATTGCAAAATTTTATTGGCCGGAAAATAAAGTGGTGGGATTCAGTTTTCCCTCATTAATTTCCATATTGTTTTAATTGTCATTAGCATAAAATTAATTAGCATCATAAAGGTAATGTTTTTCTATAAATATTTTTGTATCCTTAATTTAAAGTTATTTTCTGTACTGCTATAATTACGCTTTTGATTTAAGATTTTAAAACTAAGAAAATTGTTTTCTTAATTTTTATTATTATTATAATGTAATTCTGCGCTACATTTTAAGATAAATTTATTTAGAAAGACAGTCTAATCTTAGTAGCCACTTTGCAATTATTATTTTTGTGCAAATACCATTACTGTTATAAATTACAGTTAAAGAGATCTGTTAAAGATTTAGAACTTAACGATCAGCTTCATGCACAATGAGATGGAAGCAAAAATAGTATTTGATATATCCACCCAATTGGAATAAAAAATAGTATTTAATATATCCGCCCGCATTTAATTAACCAAAGATGGTTAAAATGTTTTTTTTAATTAATTTAAAAAAGGGGGGAATATATTACATTGATTAGAGAACTTATCTGTTACAAATCAGAATTAATAACAAAACTGTTCATTAAAATAAAAGTTTAAAAAAATGAGAAAAAGCACAATTTTTTAATTTAACAATGTTTGCCATTTCAGAATTACTGCTTAGATTATTAATTTTATTGTGTTTGTCTCAGAAGTTTTTAATTTTAGCCAAAGTTATTATGGAATATTTTTTTCAGTCTTGTGTTCTCAAAGTTGCATTTTTCTCAACCAAATCTACGTAGAAAGATAATAAAAGAGAAATAGATGCTGCTGGTAAGGTTGGAATAAATGTCTCGTTAATGAGATTTTGCATAAGTAAGAAAATTTATATTTTAGATTAGCGGAACTCTGAGATTCATGGAAACACACAAATCAGTGGAAGAATCACATGCCCTTATTAATTTCCAAGTAAATGTAAGATTATAAAATTGAAAGACATCAGGCCATGTGTAATTGAAATCTACTGAAATCTTTCAGACAACCTCAGTCGTGAAGTTCCCAGTGTAAAACTGTTCAGAACACTGGTAAGGAAGAATTAAACACTAATTTTCAAGTCAATGCAATGTAGGATTTCAATATTGAAATCTATTAGACAATATATTATTGAGATCTTTCAGTTAACTCCAGCTGTAAAGATTCTACTTTCCAGTATAAAACTGTTTAGAACAACACTGGTAAGGAAGAATTAACAACTAATTTCCCAGTCAATGTAGGATTTCAATATTGAAATTTATAAGACAATATATTATTGAGATCTTTCAGTTAACCCCAGCTGTCAACATTCCACATTCCAGTATAAAATTATTTAACACCACAGAGGAATTAATCATTACTGTAATCAGGGTTTCCATCTAATTTCAGAGGAAAAAAAAATTCTTGACTTTTTCCAGGTATTTCAAGGCTATTTTTTTTATGTAAATCCAGATTTTATGTACACCATGCAATTTTTCAGTAGAAAACTTTGATTTTTTAAAGTGAAGTAATAGATTTTGTGAGAAATAAGACAAACATTGGATGAGGGTGGAAACATGGAAAAGTTCCACCAAAATGTGGAACTTTTACAACAAATAATTGTAATAGATGTTAGAATTATTTAAATCGATCTCAATAACTGATTACTGTTACTGACCATTCTAAGGATCGTTATTTTACAAGTATAATGTGAGAATTTTCCATGACAATTCCCAGCTTATTAGAGTCAAAGTAAAACTCCCTGACAATTCCAGGTAAATTCTTCCAGACTTGAGAGAGCCCTATATAAGATTTCAACATTGAAATCAGGGGTCTGTAAAAGGAAAATTGACTACCGTTTAGCAGTACCTTCACAAATTCAACTTTAGAAAAAACGGTAGTTTCACATAATGCTTTTAAAAAAGCAAGTTCTAAGATTTTCCTCCCCACCTCTTAAAATTTTGTTTTTGTTTGCTTTGTTCCCATTAGAAAAGGTAGCATGAGCTTTGTCAGATAGCGCAGTGTGGTAAGCCAAGCTGGTCACTTACGCCATATTAGAGCAAGCTTTTTGTCCCCGATTTTTGTAAAATTTTTTTCTCTCTCTGTTAACTTTACAGAAATTTGAATATTATTCAAAAACATTCGAACATTGTTCTAGCACAACTTAATTATTTCATGAAAAAATTTTTCTCTTTGAAACTTGTTTCTATATGACCCTAGGAAAAATGTGCTCACATAATAAAAATAACTTTTAGTACAAATACTGCTAAATGCATGCTTGCTTTTTTTATTATTAAATTTAAGTTGAAATTTAACCATGGACAATGATATTTATGGAGTTTTAAATTTGATACAATTTTAAGCCCCAAATTTTACAATAGCTAAATTATTTTTGAATATACGAGGAAAAATATATAAAAATTTACCNTTTTTATTATTAAATTTAAGTTGAAATTTAACCATGGACAATGATTTTTATGGATTTTTAAATTTGATACAATTTTAAGCCCCAAATTTTACAATAGCAAAATTATTTTTGAATATACGAGGAAAAATATATAAAAATTTACCAGCCATAAATAATTTTTATTTATAGCGAATTTTTTTGAAAATATCTTCTTGCTTTACCATATTTTTGCAATGATTTTTTAATATAACTTTCAATTTTCACAAAATAGGTACCTTTCATAAAAACCTAGACAGACCCCTGGAAATCAAACAGATAATAACTAAAGAAACAATGAAAAAGGATACATAGATAATGGATTCATAGATAAAGGAAGAAGGGGACTTACGTATATGTTCTGGCAGGTTTTGGTGGAGGCACAGCACAAGTACTACTCAGTGATATAGAACTTGTAAGACTAGAACTATTCAGAGAAGAGGATTCAGTGAGTGAAGTAACACCTTTCGGTGGGGTACCTTCACTAGCTCTTCTCTCTGGGGGCTCTGAACCCACAGAATTGGCATCAGAAGGCACATCAGGACACGACACTTGCTTTGTCAAACTCTTAGTGGCATCTGCACCAGGAAGTATCAGGGGATGCTTGCGCTGATGCTGTTTGAGCACAGGCAAGGGCTTAGTTCTATCTCTCGGTGGAAGTGGAAGAGGATTGGGAAAGGCGTCACACGAACTTTCACTACAACTGACTGTCGTATTGGTACTCGAAGAATCACTCTGGTCCTCGAGTTTCGCATCCAACAGAGTATCTTCTGACTTGGGCAGGGTGCTAGTTTCTTTGGCATAGCGAGAAGTTATGTTTGGTCTGGGAAAAGTCTTTGGCGCTTGCGGAGGAGGTGGCGGAGATCCAAGTGAGGATCTAGTACCATTCACTAAAGAAACACCATTGCTAGCGTTTGCAGCCAGTCGTGCCACTGTTGCAGTATGAGGAGTTGCAGCCCTACCACTGTTTGGTATACCGTGCCTGTTTCCTCTAACCTTCGGCCGAACGGGAACGCCACTCCTCAACATCCTGAGAGGATTGTGGTCCACCGACTCCGATTCTGGGTCCGATGAATCCGTGGCTTGGGAGGGAGTCTGTACGACTTGCCTGCTTCTTAAGTGAGTCACTTCAACGATGGGCTTAGGTGCTACAGCAGGAGGCAAAGACACACTTCTTTCCAAGCAACTTCCTTTTTGCACCAATGAATCATACACTTCTTTAGCTTCTTCGGTAATTATGTCTTGTATGTCCGGAATGGCTTCGGCTTCCTCAGAAAAGTTCCTACGATCTAGCTTTGGACTTGTTTTAAATTTGAAGGAAAATTTTCTTTTGAATGGAGAAGCAGGAGTTTTGGGGCTCTCTAAAGGTGTCTCATTATCAGATCTGTTGTTATCCAAGTCTAATAAACTCTTGCTGGCTAGCTCCTTGGCTATGGCAATAGCAGAATCTAAAGTTTGCGAATCAGCAGCAGATATAGGTTTCACCAAAGCTTGCTTCTTTTTGGAGTTGTCACGACCCAGTTTTAAAGAAATTTCTTTTATTTCACTCTTTACAGCAGTGTTGGTCTCAATGAGTTTGGGCTCGTCGAATGTGAACTCGGGTTGAGGAGATCCTAAAGCTTTAAACACTTCATCCAATAATGAAGGGCCTAAGTCTAATGACTGTAAAGAATAAATTACATTGTACATTAGATGTTAATGCAATAAGAAATATTGTCATATATTTCTTAGAGGACAGGGTAAACAGTTACATAGAATATTGCATAAATACAATACAAATGAAAATCCAGAAATGAACAGAACATACTGTGTTTTCAGTTCTGTAAACAAAAGGAAGGTTCTTGATTAGTTAATTGCTTTTGTAAATTTTTCTAGCAGGGTGCGTAGCTAAATCTTTCAACAAAAAATAAGCACCTTTTAAGTACTTTTTAAGCACTATATACATTAACAAAATGCAAAATAATTTTCAAAGACTTTACATGATCATAATAAAATAACTAGTTTCTTACAAAAAACACCTTTCTTGATTATATTAACCATTATAAAAAGATCAAGAGATTTTTCCGTTCGATATCAGAGGGTGGAAAATGAAGCCTGAAATTGAGAATATCTAGCAAAATACAGCAGAGTAGCACACAGGAGTGCAATAATCTCACCAAACCCAGCGCAATAGACGCACATGCAGACTCGCAAATATTTCCTCAAACATGTAAAACGATTGACGCTTTTATACGCCATGTACCAATGGTACGCCGAAATGTATTGTGGTTGAATGAATTGTGAATACGTTGAACAGAACAATGTAAAAGGCAAGTTTTTGCACAATACGTGGCAAAAATTGACAAGGCAAAGAAAAAAAAATCTTATTTTAAAAAAGGGAAAATTGAGCACTTTTCGAAAACACCCCATGAAAAAAGCCCTTTCAGGGCTTTTAAAAAACAAAAATCGAAAATAAGCACCTTTAAGCACTTTTGAAAATGCTACGCACCATGAATATTATTTGTATATTGTCATATACAAACAGCTACATAGAATAAAGCATAAATAAAATACAAATGAAAATTCAGAAATGAACATACAGTGGTTTCAGTTCGGTAAACAAGAGGAGGGTTCTTGTTTATTTAATTGTTTAGGTTAATTTTTCTACTCATTTAAGGTAAGATTTATGATACATTAAAATGAAACTGTTTCCAAGGGATTTATACAAGGAGCGTACGGTAAGTTAGTTATTGCTTCCAATTCTTTAAATCTAAAACACTAATTATACTTAAAAATAAAGATTTTATAATGAATTGTTTTGTCCCAGAAATAGGTTTTTAGTAATAAAAGCTGAAACCAATTTTTCTTTAACAAAGCAAACGTTATAAGTACAAACAAATCTGTACTGTAATTTCTTTTCTATGCATTTTTTTCTCGTTGAGTAATAATAGTAAAAAGAAAGATGGTTTCCATGAGAAAAGCTCAAAGAGTTTAACTCTCCGAGTGTAAGAAACTTCCCTTTAACTGTTGTGACTCTTAACACAAAAGCTAATTATCAGAGTAATAAAAGTAATTCTAAAATATTGAACATTTTTAAAACTGAACTTTTATAATAAATTACAATATTTTTAAAAAAAACTCAATGAATTTAGTTTCATAATGTGGGTGAGGATATTCATTAAAGGAAAAACAAATAAAATTACCTCAAATTTAGAATTTTCCATAAAATTTCCAAAGTCTTCATCATCACTTATTTCAGTATACTCATGGTCAGGCAAGACCCCCTCCTTGCTATTTCTCTTTGGAGGTGGATCAAGGAGCGTAATGGGAGGCTGATCGTTCATCATTTCTGACCAATTATCTAGAACAAGTTTCACTGTAATTATTGAAATGGAGGGGAGGCCTGCAACATCTACACCCAAATTAACTTACATAAAAGTAAGATATGTCAAAATACAGATGCCCTGTGGCAGAATTTTTCGGGCTATCTGCAACAAAACTGTCTGTAAGATACTTTTAATAATAACAGACATATATGTTACAAATTTAAAATAACAAAAGCGCTGTGCTTACAAAAAAAAGGAATTTTTTTTAATTGAACATATAATAATTTTTTATTCTAATATTATGGGTGACATTCTCGCATATTGTTGGGGGTGGGGGAAATAATGTACAAATTTTTTCTTTCTTGGCATTTTGTAACTAATCATTACAATAAAAAAATATAATTAAAATTCATAAAATCTGTTGCCGAAAAAAGATCGAAGACGAATCGGACTTCTCAAAAAGGGGTTACTTAAATGCGTAATAAATAATATCATACAAAAAATATGGGATTAAAAAACTATTGAGAAATCTATAGCAATAACAGTCAAAAATTCGATAGAATTATTGCCCTAAAAAGTAAATATTCAATTGCACGATTCAAATTTTTGCTATTGTTTGAAATATATTGGGAAATTTAAGAATCTATCTGTGGGCTATCTGCAACAAAACTGTCTGTAAGATACTTTTAATAATAACAAACATATATGTAACAAATTTAAAATAACAAAAGCGCTGTGCTTACAAAAAAAAAAAAAGGAATTCTTTTTAATTGAACATGTAATAATTTTTTATTCTGATATTATGGGTGATATTCTCACATATTGTTGGGGCGGGGGGAGATAATGTACAAATTTTTTCTTTCTTTGCATTTTGTAAATAATCATTACAATAAAAAAATATAATTAAAATTCATAAAATCTGTTGCCGAAAAAAGATCAATGACGAATCAGACTCCTCAAAAAGGGGTTACTCAAATGCATAGTAAATAATATCATACAAAAAAATATCGCATTTAAAAACTATTGGGAAATCAATAGCAATAACTGCCAAAATTCGATAGAATCATTACCCTAAAAAGTAAATACTCAAATGCACGATTCAAATTTTCTAAATTTTTTGAAATATATTGGGATATTTAAAAACCATGTGAAAACCAATATCAATAACTGCCGAAAATACAATTGAAACATTACATCGATTTAAGACACTATCGGCGTAAAAAAGTGATTATCTAAATGCATGCTTCAAATATTACGTGTAAATTTCTGTAGAAAAGAAAACTTACATTTTTAGCTTTCAAAAGAAAAAAATCTTTCTGCTAACTTCAACATTCTGCAACAACGGAGCCGCGCCGCTGCGATTCTGCCACGGGTACAGAAGTATGATTCAAAGCGAAAAAAAGACCTTTTGATTTTTTTTTTTTTTAAAAATAAAGTAAAATCACTAGCTTTAACAATTAATTATTCACATGAAAAAAAAAAGTATTTAATATAGAACTCAATATATTTAAGCTACAAAGCTATTCGATATATTAAGTTCCAAAACAGCTCAGCAATAGTTTCAAAAACACAATTAAAAAAAAAAGAACTATTAATCTATTGTGAGTTATAAAAATGATCTTTTGAATACATACTTGAAACAATACTCACAAATATCTGATGTTTTTTCTTTCAAAAAACTTTAAAAAGTGTTTTATGAATGCAATAAACTATCTAAAATAAAAAGATTTAAAAAACGGTAAAAGATATACTTAACACAATTCCACAAATTGCAATTCTCTATAAACAGCATTAACTTAACAATCTCAAAAGCAAAACCAAAATTGACATATTTGTCAGCTTTTATCTCTACTATTGGTAATTTAATTTTTTTCTATAAATAAGAAAGGCTTAAGTGTGCATTTTTGCATTTTAAGTGCATTTCAAGCGTGCATTTTGCATGTTTAAAAAAAATATTCTTAAGCCTTAATAATAAAAAGCCTTAATATTGAACTGTTGCAGATATGTCTTACCAAACAAACTTAATTATATGGAAAATGATCTAAATAATATAAAATTCTATATAATGCAAAGTCTTGTGTTTCAATGTTTGAGTTATAAATATCTTCAACTGTAAGAGCAAAAAAAAAAGTTTTAATTTGATGTTTAACTCATTTTCATCCAAAGGTGAGTAAACACACCATTTCAATAAATGATTTTTATTAACACCCTGATGTATAAATTTCACTAATTGTCAAGGGTTTTATTGACATCTATAAAACAATTTCGGTAATTACAGCTATGGACTTTACAATTTATTATGATTTCTTTTCAATGTGATGAGGATATACAAAATGGGAATAATTTTTGTGTTTCCCCTACAAAATGCGAGAACATCGCCCATAATATTAGAATAAAAACATATTATATATTCAACTAAAAAAATTATTTTATTTTACCCGAAAGTATTTTTTTCTTTTTTTTTGAAGTAGAAGCTTCTGTTACTTTAAATTAGTAACATGTGTATTTGTTATTATTAAAATTATCTAGTAGAAAGATATTAGTACTGGAGAGGTATGTAGCAGAAAGTATGAAAAAATTCTGCCATAGGGCCAACATAAAAAGCACAAAGAATTTATTACCTGTAAAACAAACTTATCACAAAAAAAGAGAGAATTATTTTTACCAGATGAAGATCCACTCCTTCCGTCTGAGGTGCTGAACTTCTTGAGGAGAGGGATCTTATCTGAAGAGTCAGTTGACAGAGTGGTTAGTGTAGGACTCACATTCTCTTTGTCATCCTGGGGCTTATCTATTTAATAAGAACCTTAATTACAATTCAAACTATACATTTCAATTACAAATCCCTTCTATTCTATACAGGGTACATAGCCAAATTTTTCAACAAAAAATAAGCACCTTTTATGTACTTTTTAAGCTCTCAAAAAATATTTTTAATCACTATATACATTACAAAATGCTAAATAATTTTCAAAGACTTTATATGATCATGATAAAATAACTCGTTTCTGACAAAGAACTCTATTCTTGATTATATTAGCCCAGTGGTTCCCAACCTTTTGTGGACCATCGCCCCCCTCTTAGGGTTGACTGACACACATCGCCCTTTTCTCTTTTTGCTCAAAAACCATTCATTGTTGCTTGTGAGCAACCAAACGCTAAGTTATATTTGAATTTAATTTAATTTGTAATGCAAATAAGGAGGCAATTTTATCCTGCCATTTTTATTAATTAAAAAAATTTTTTTACATCTTTTTGTTATCAAAAAGAAATTATATTTAAAACGGAATAATCAAAACATAAGTACATTTTTTAAAATTCATATTTTAATGTAATCAAAAAAAAGTTAAAACGTTAGCAACTAAAATTTAAGAAAAAAATGAAGAGTGAGAAAGTACATTTTTACCACTTCAATGACTGCCCTGTACTAGCTGTATTTCAGTTAAAGCTTGAATGCCAGGTTTTATGTTCGTCAGATTTAAACGCAGGTCTCCTTTGAAGCAAATATCCAACCTATTTCTTTGCTTTGTAAGGAGCTGGACGATAGAACTAAATCCACTCTCCACTAACGAGATGAGGAGCGGCTCAGTTTGTTTCCACAATTGTGGATAAGTGTCCATAAGCTTTACCCAAGCCAACTCGTAATTGTATTTTTTAAAGACTACTTTATCATATTTCAAATCTAAAAACTCAGTCTGCAAAGAGGAAGTGAGCTTATCCACAACTTCAAAAGAGAAAGGATCGAAAATTCAATCCGGAATTTCTAATTTCATCAAATCTTTAAATCTTGATTCCATATCAGTTTTTAACTGATCAAGATGATCAGTAAAAATTAAGATTTTATTTTCGAGAATATCGATATCTGCCATTGAACACTTTCTAAGAGTTGGAAATTGCATTAGCTCTTTGCGACCAATGTTTGACTTGTAGACATCAAACTTGGCGATGAATGAAGATATGATTCCCTTAGTCTTGATAATGTTCACTTTATTTCCTTGAAGTTATACGTTGATTTTGTACATTTTTTCAAAAATATCCGTGTGGTACGCAGTTTCCAACTTGCGTTGCTTCAAACTCTCACTTAAAACAGGATCATTGGTGTCGAGAAACTCAGTCACCGAGTCAAACAATTCGAAAAAACGGCACAAACAATTTCCTTTTGAAAGCCATCTCACATCTGTATGTAGGAGCAAGCGTTCGAAATCTTCATCATTTTTACAGCAAAGTTCTTGGAACAAACTGTCATTGAGAGAATTAGCTTTGATTTTATTGATGCCAGAAATAACGAATTGTAAAGTGTCATGCAGGGCACCACAAAACTTTTTTGAAGCCAAATGTTGACGATGAATGACACAATGAATGGTGATGACCTCCGGTACTTCTTTTTTAAGGTGCGCTAGATGCCCAGTATGACGACCAGACAGGGCAGGAGCACCATCTGTTGCACAAGCACTTACATTTGTAAAGGTAATTTCTTTTTCCACAAAATAGTCTTTGACCAATTTAAAAATCTACGATCATTTTGTATCAGTGATCAAAGTTCTTGTAAACAACATTTCCTCGTTCATCCAATCTACTTTTACTCTCATTTATGAATCTTACGTAAGCTAATACAATAGCTTTGTTATCTATTACAGTTGAGTCATCAATCTGCAACGCAAATTTACCTTCTCTCATAAATTTAATGAGTTTTGATTCAACGTCTGCGGCCATCTCATCAATAAGCCTGGAAACAGCCTTATTGCTCAGCGGTTTTACCTTATTGCTCGATCCCTCACCCAACATGATTTCAATAATTTTTTTAGTAGCAGGTAAAATAAGAGTTTACCAATTGTGTGATGTTTAGAGTTATATAAATGTTTCGTCTATCAATCCCTTTCTCCTATTACTTGCCTTTTAAAATCGGAGGGATGGGAATGAGACAAGTGAGGTAAATTTGAGGAGAAAAAGGTATATAAAAGACCATGACTTTCAAAAAAAGAGAATTCTTGAAGTTCGGATTTCCACCAGCGATACCAAAACGTATGACAAAAACAATCTTGAACTTGAAATTTTTTAATTTTAAACTATTGTAATTCTTTGTCTACACCAGAACCATAAGCTTCATATATGTTTTCAATTTCGATCTCAAATAGTTTTGTCATAAATATTATTAGCAATTTTTATCTTTTGAATACTCGTCGCCCCCCTAAGGATTATCGCCCCCAGGTTGGGAACCACTGTATTAGCCTTTATAAAATGATCAAGAGATTTTTCGGTTCGATTTCAGAGGGTGGAAAATGGAGCCTGTAGTTGAGAACATCTTGCAAAATGCAGTAGAATTGCACATGAGAGTGCAAGAATCTCACCAAACCCAGCTCAATAGACTAGCAAGTATTTCATTATGCATGTAAAATGATTCGCGCTTTCATACGCAATGGGCTGACGATGCCCCTGAAATAGATTGTGGTTGAATGAATTGCGAAAACCACGCTTTTTACAAAATACGAGGCGAAAATCGTGATAGTAAAGAAAAACATCTTATTCTCGAAAAGGGAAAATAAAGTTCTTTTTAGAAACACCCAATGAAAAAAGCACCTTTAAGGGGCTTTTAAAAAATTAAAATAAGCAGTTTTCAGAAACGCTACACACCATGCTATATTCTCCTATTGATTTTTAGAAGCAAGAAAAGTATTTCATGATAGTAAGATTGAAAATAATAATTTGTTACATGGCGAGTCAACAAAAGTGGCGAATTAAGTCAAATAAGTAACTCTTTGTGCATCGGTTCTTTTTTAAATTCAATAAATTATTATTAATTATTAATGTTGCACATTAAGAAAATAAGGAGGACCCAAAATGAGCACTTATCAAAAATCAAAGTTTCATTTACTAAAATAAATTTATTTACTAAAATAAAAGTAGACCGATACAGATACAAAATATAAAGAACATTTCAGGCAAGGCACAAAAAATTAATGAATTTTGTAGAGCTTATAAATATTTATCTGCATTATAAATCTAAAGTTATTTATATCCCACTAATTATAAAGCATAATCAATTGCAATTAAACTATTCACAAATATGAGAATAATAAGGGTGGTAAAAATAATATCTTTGCTAACCTATAAACCACATTAGAGAATCTATACTTATGTGATGACATTTGTCTATTAAAGGTTAAAATCAAATACAGCGAACTCTCGCTATTAAGATGTCCACAACAACAGCTCCCTTTATTATGCTAATGCTTCGTGGTCCCGGCAAACTTACATATGAATTAATGCCAGGCTCCTCTCAATATTACGATATCCTCTGAAGAAATAAACCCCTCTAAAACGATTTTTTCTCTCCAAATTTCAACCTTATTTTTCCATTTATTATTGGTTTTAAAATAATGGAAAAAATCTTATTTTATCATCTTTTGCAATCTTCCCTGACAAAAGTAGAGTCCTGACCACCCCAAGAGCTTCCATTCTTAGAATTGCCTCCCTTATCTCTTAAGAAGTCACAGATGTAACATTCCTATCTTATTTTACGTTAAAAGCTGATTATGATTCACAAATGACTACAAGCGTCACATTAATTTCTGAATGATAATTTTTTTTGTAGAGGGTAGATGGAGTACCATTCATAAACGAAAATCATTTTCGTGCTTTGTCTTAAATGCATACTTTGTTGGTTGACTTGACAGTAAAAATAAATAAATAATAACAATAATAATAAACAAACAAAAATATCAGATTATTTTCAATAAAAATGGTTTTCAGGTATGTTTACAATTCTGAATTTATTTAAATTGTTTTCAATATTTAACCATAATTAACACACTGCAAATAAATTTTTTATATAATATATAAATATATTCATAGTTAATACATACATAACATTTAAATTTAAAAAAAAATCGTATTGTGAGCTCAAAGTACGTAGGCCCTCGATACAATAATCCCTCTACAACAGTATATTTGATAGGATTCCAAAAATATTGTAATAGCGAGGTTTTACTGTAAATCAAAAAATAAAAGATTCAGAAATTTTTTTCTTACATGGAGTAACTATTTGCCTTGGAAGTTGGTGATATTTATCACCTAAAAACGATATATCACCAAAAAATGCTCCGTCTAACCCAACATGACCAGTGTGCTTGAAATCTCCTTGGGGACGAGAAATCATATCAGTTTTTAACCTAAAAAAAAAATGCTTAATTAATTGCTTTCAATCCAGTTTTAATTCCAAATATTTAGTAATTGTTACAAGTTAGGGAATTCAACATAAAAACTTAATTTCTAAGATTAAATGTAACTATTTTACCAATAAATGTGATTTTTGACCATGGAAATATGAGAGTAGCTGCAATCTTAAGCTCCAATAGTATCACGAGAAATTTTTCATCTCTTATTACGTTAACTGACTTCTTTAGTTATTTCATGAAATACCAAGTTATTCTATGAAATAACCGAATTATAAAATTTAACACACACATGCAAAAAACACACACACATTATATAAGTCATGCTCATATAATGGGTGTCTTTTTGCCATTATAATTTTTATTTGCTATTTAGTAGTAAGTTGAAATCGATAGCCATATAACAATGACAAACAAGTGCTACTTTGGTTCAAAAAGTCAACTAAAAAGTAAATTTCTTAAACAAAAGACAAAAATTAACATTTACAAAACACTCCTACTACCTGTGATCTACATGGTAGTGAGTGTGAGACTCTTAATAAAAAAGTGAACAAATTGCTGATTTTTGAGAGAGAGATACTTAAAAGTATTTTTGGTGCAGTCTATGAGAATAACAAATGGCGCACCATTTTGGTGCAGTCTATGAGAATAACAAATGGCAATTACAATCATGAGCTATATAAAAGGTATAAACAACCACACATAGTTCATATTATTAAAGCCTTTCACATTTGATGGCTGGGACACCATTATAGATCTGAAGACCGAAACCCAGAAAAAAAGTAAACATTTTTTTAAACCAGAAAGTACAAGAAAAAGGGGTCGTCCACCAACTAGGTGGCTGGACGCAGTTAAGAAGGACCTAAAGAAAGTAGGAATAACTAACTGGAAGGCCATGGCACAGAATAGATCAAGATGGCAAAACCTTATTGATACGTCCTTGGTCTGTCATAGGCTGTAGTGCCGAAGAAAAAGATTTAGTAGCAAGTGAGCTACAAAGTTTTTTTTATTGGGTAGTAATTCAACTTAAAAGGTTGGATTCTGCTGATATAGCGCTAATGAGGCATCTTTAACTTTACTTTCCTGGGTTTGAGCATCGAGTTCTTCAAAATGAACTCTTATAAAAAAAATTTGCAGTTCTTATGTAGGGTTGCCACTCAAATCTGGAAAAAAATTCCCTGTATATATTATACATAATATATTAAGAGGAAACAACAATTCCTGTGCTCTTGTGTGAGCTATATTGGGCAAACTATATTTATTAGTTTTAATTGCTGGAAAAACGTAGAGAGAAAAAAGTAACAGCAGAACATATTTAAATAATGCTATAATAAATTAAATAGCTTAAGTTGAGCTGAAATATCATTCTTAAATATCCTACAGATTACGTTTTGAGTGGTCACCATTTTTTAAAAGGCGAAAATAAACAATAAAATTCCCTGTATTTTCCCAGTTCGTAAAGAGTCATTTGTAGAGAGAAAAAAGTAACAGCAGAACATACTTAAATAATGCTATAATAAATTAAATAGCTTAGTTGAGCTGAAATATTATCCTTAAATATCCCACAGATTACGGTTTGAGTGGTCACCATTTTTTAAAAAACGAAAATATGAAATAAAATTCCCTGTATTTTCCCAGTTCGTAAAGAATTTAGTTTCAATTCTATTTTAGGTGATTTTTAAATTCCCTGTATTTTCTAGGCTTTCTCTGTTCTCCCTCAGTGGAGTGACAACCCTGTCATGTCTACGTCACAATAGCAAAATAAGAAGAACAAAACATTCACCTTCTTCGACTGGCATACAGGCCGCATTTGGAATCTGCCCTGGAGAAACTTGGCCTGTGGGTAGGAAAATTTGTAAGGTAGGCAACAGTGTGAGCAGGATTGAAGAGCCCTGTTTTCCCATTGATTAAAACACCCTTCCAGATGTTGATGCTGTCAGGTAAAGGTCTGAAAAACAACTTTCCAATTAGATGAAATTTAGAAAGAATATAAACATATTTTTAAGTATGATTTTCAACTAAGACATGGATCTACAACATTTTTGAACAGTGCGTCACAAAAATTAGAAAATAACACGGAGCTGTAATTATCAGGGGTGATTGTGAACCTGATTCAAAAATCCTGAAAATTTCTTGAGTAAAATCATTAATGACGCATTTAAAAAAATAGCTGTCTTTATAAATTTCTTTTAAAACCACAAATATTTCTGAGGTAAAAAAGAAAATTTAATTTAAAAAAAAAATTGGAAAGAAATATTAATTAATGGTATTTAGTCTATTAATTTTTCTCAAGACTGATTTCAGTTTGTCTGCCATACAGCAAAAATTTTTTTTTGATAATAACTTAGGAACCAATTTAGTGTCCTCAAAATAAATAACATATTTATTTTGAGTACAATACCTACAAATTTTCATAAAAAAAAAAAAAAAAAAAAAAAAAAAAAAAAAAAAAAAAAAAAAAAAAAAAAAAAAAAAAAATTTTTTTTTTTTTTTTTTTTTTTTTTTTTTTTTTTTTTTTTTTTTTTTTTTTTTTTT